TAATCCGTGTTTTGAGGGTTGTTGGTTAAAATGTTATAGAATCTATTTGTACAAAAAGTACATGGTTTATATATAACAGGCACTCAAGTATTCGTTGATTGGTTGATCTGGGTTAATCATTAGCTCTGAGATATTTGCATCTGTAAATAGCCTTCTTTTTGAGCTCTTCATTTTTTTTAAGGGGGGAGGGGCAGAGGGAGAGGGAGAGAGAGAATCTTAGGCAGGCGGGCTCTGTCTCATGATCCTGAGATCATGACTTGATCCAAAATCACGAGTCGGACACTTAGCTGACCGAGCCTTCATTTTGCGTGTGGTTTTGTTAGTCTGTCACCTTGCTGTCCCTCCCATTTTATGTGCCATGCATGTGAATGTTTTTTGGATATGTCTTCTCTGTATATATTTTAAATAAGTATAGCAGATATTTTAAACCTCTCTTTGGCTCTTTCTCACATTATAATAACCCCACCATGTATTGAGGTATTTGTATACCACCCTGTTTTTTCCACTGCATTACAGATTCCTGCTGGATTAGGAAAACAAAAACCAGACCTACGCTTTTAATTATCCTGCCAAGCTGTCCCAGTGGGCAGTGGAAAGCCACTGAACATTGTAGTCCTGAGAGTGTGCGGGATCGGATTTGTGCAGGGAAGTGAAGGAATTGAAGGTGGAGGTGGGAAGCCCTGGTGGCCGTTGGGGTGACCCTGGAAGAGGTGGTGGCCTGTCCCAAGGAGGTAGCAGCAGAGAGCAGGAGGGAGTGCATCTGCCCTGCTCTGGGCCGCAGAAAGCCAGCCCGTGGTCAGCGTCTCTACTCCCAGACCTCTCATCAACTAAAGGAGAGGGGGAGGAAGGGGCTGCAGGAGGAGACCCCACGAGGGCACGGGGAAAGCGCGGGCCCCGGCTGGGGAGGCGCCTCTGTCCCAGAAGCTTTCCCCATTGCTCTTGGCTGTGCTGAAGAGCTGGACGAGGTGCATCAGCAGGAGACCGGCGGCGGCCGCACACCGATGAGCTGCATCCTGACTTGACAGAGGCAGGGACATTCCTGGAGGGGGAGGGACTGGACAAGGAATGCAGCCCACAGCCGGCCTTGAGGACAGGTTTGATCATTCTGGTGGCCTCTGCGCTGGGTCCTGTGGGGCAGGGAAATGAGCCGTGAGAGGCCTGGGCCACATTAGAGTAGGCCTTCTGGGACAGGGCTGTGTTCTGGCGGTGGGCTTGGCCGTGTCATCCAGCGTGGGGAGGCTCCGGAGCATCTGGCACTGCCATATAATCCTCCCAGCTATCTGGGAAGTGGGCCCTGTCATCCCTGTTATGCATGAGGAAGTTGAGGCTTGAAGCGATGACGTGACTGGCCCAGGTCACACACGTGTGCAGTCAGGACGGGAAGCTCAGTTTTACGGGCTCCAGCCCTCCTGCTCTGCACTGCATCCCCGTCTCTCTCATGGCTCCTGTCAGTCTCCGCCCCCAGCGCCTCGGCTTCCACCTGCCCCTTCAGTGTTGGTGGTTATGGGGTTCTCAGCCCCTCTCACCCGATGACCAGAGATTCTTTTTTTTTTCCTTTCCAAGTTTTTATTTAAATTCCAGTTAGTTACCATACATAACAGTCTGTTTAGTTTCCAGTGTAGAGTTTAGTGATTCGGTGCTTCCATACAACACCCAGTGCCCTCCTCAGTGCCTGTCCCCTATTTCCCCCATCCCGATACCAAAGATTCTTCAGCAGAAGTCAGCAGATCCCTTGACTTAGGGGATCCCGTGACCCTCCGCAGCGGTGTACAGAATTTGTAAGGTGTATGTGCTTGTGTGTGTTTTTCTGAGAAGAGAAGCCGTAGCTTTTATTATAGGAGACAGGCTGGGGTTTTGTTGGTACTTGATGTTTTTACGGCTGGGGAAACCCCGAAATGCCCAAATCATGTCTTGGTCTTATTCCTCCTTTCCCTGAAATTCCTGAGGAGACTCTGCCTCAGGACAGTGACAGATGGGAAAAAAGAAACTAGCGCCGCTGAATGGCTCAGTGTGTCAGTTCCGGGGCTCTCCTGCAGGGCTCCCTGGGACTCGAGACCCCCCCGCAGGCCCCCTTTCCCCGGGGGCAGGGAGCAGAAGCTGATCAGGAGCTGGGCCCGCTGCTGTACGACAGCAGGGAGTTAAAAAGAGGGTGTGTGTGTGTGTGTGTGTGTGTGTGTTAGAGAGAGAGAAAGACTTCTTGCCTTATCCCAGTAAATGTGACACTCAGTACCCTCAAACCTAAGTGGCCAGAGCAGCTGCTTCTCCTCCCCACTGAAGCTTTGGGCAGAATCTCACAGAGAGCAGAGCTAATGAGCTCATTTCCGACAGTTTCACATAGTAGTCACATAGGGGACCTCAGACCGTGTTTCAGAGAGGACATCTCATGTCATGGGGAGAACCAGATTTTGAAGTTGGATCCAGCCAGATTCTCCCCTTGCCTCTCTGAGCCCCAGTTGCCTCCGTGAAATGGGATGTGGGGCACCTACCAGGTGACTTCTACTCACCTGGGAGCTGCTGGAGGGCAGAGGGGAGGTCCCATTCATCCTTAACCCCAGGCCCCAGACTTCCTGAGGCGGGAACAGTAATGACGATGGTCAGTGATGTGGCAGAACATCCATCTTGGCATCATGACACTCGGGTTTGAATATTGGCCCAGCCACTTGTGTGACCTTGATCGAGCATGCTGCTTCTTCCTGGGGTCTGTACCTGTGAAGTGGGTGAAAGTGGAGGAGATGTAAACAGGTACGGTCTGGGAAAACTAGCCGGGAGCCTTGCACCGCCCCCCCCCGCCAGCTGTGCCCGTTCCTGGCTCTCCTGAGCAGCCCCTACGCCTCCTGCTCTTCAGGTGCGGGGCGGCAGGCATGGGCGGGAACCCCAGGTGGGGAACCGTTGGGGCCTGCCAGGCTCCACAGAGGGGACAGGGGCCCAGCACAAGCTGGTACCTGCATTCCTTTCAGTCCACACCTGGCCCTCTCAGCAGGGGCTCCTCCCCACGTCCGCCTAAGATCTTGGCCATCTCCACCCTTCCCTTTCCTACCGGGTCCTGTGGTCCCTGCCTTTGGGTCTGTGGGATTCTGAGAAGATAGACTCAAAAGAAGCAGATGACCAGGAAGCCAGAATGGGCTGGAGACATGAAGAATCCAGTGTGGATTCCCGGGTTTCTGGTTTGGAAGATGGGGTGGATAGTAGAAGAGAGAACAGATAGTAGAAGACATAGAAGAACATCCAGAGAGTAGAAGAGGAGACAGAGCAGATCTGGAGAAACCACAAACCACAAACCACATCCAGCAACAGCGGATTGGTTCAATAAGTTATGATACATGCTGGTGACATGGCTCTTAGAAAACATAGTTTTGATGTCTGTAACATTCAGTTATAGAGATGGATCATTTAGCTGAACCTCTGCTGTATATTTCTGGATTTTCCCCTGGTTTGAATTGCATTTTCATAAACAACACTGGCGTAAACAGCTTTTTACAAAGGTCTTCACCATCCTGATTACTTTTAGAAGAGAAATGTTGCAGTCATCAGATATAAAAACAGCCTTGAGGCTTTTGATACATATTGTCAGGTTGCTTTTTAGAAAGGCTCTACCGATTTTACTCCTATAGCAATGCAGGAGAATCCCAGCGGGGTGTGCCGACCACCACAGGCACCAAGATACGTACACGGACACACACACACACACACACACACACACACACACGTACACATATTTTAGAGGATAACAGAGCATCTTATTTTAATTTGCATCTCTTTGTCACTATTGAGTTTGTTTATGCTTATTAACCTTATTTTATGTTCTTTTATGGTGTCCCATTAATTTTTTCATGAATTTTTAAAATATGTCTTATTATCTGTGACAAAATATTTCTCACTTTTTTGTTTCCTTCATAATTTTACTTATTCTATTTTTGATATACCAAAGCCCTTAAGAATGTTTACAAAGTCAAAATCTGTTTTTTTAAATTTATTTCTAATATTTGCATTAACATGTCAAAAGTTCAGTGATAGGGGTGCCTGGGTGGCTCAGTCGTTAAGCATCTGCCTTCGGCTCAGGTCATGATCCCAGGGTCCTGGGATCAAGCCCCGCATCGGGCTCCCTGCT